ATGCGTCCCATATTTGGACCCGAGGTGAGCGACTAAGTGAAAGTGACCGGACTTTGGCTCAGTGGAGTGACCGGACGCTGACGAGTTACTGTTCAGCGTCAGGTCAAAGTGATATAGCCCGATGCAGGATTGCAGAGAGCGACCGGACGCGTTCGGTGTGAACCAGCAAGTCTCGGGTTTTCAGCACAATAATTCATCGGACGCTAGGAGCGTTCGGTCTGGGAGCTCTCTGGACTCGACCTGACGCTGAATCTACCGGGTCCGGTCGTTTTCTAACAGCGCGTCTAATCACGTAGTATTACTGTGCGCAGAGATAGCCGTTGAGCGCCAATGGCTAAACAATTTGAAAGGAACACGTGGCAGTCAGGCTACGACCGAACGCGTGCGGTCACCACACCGGACGCGTTCGGTGCACACGACCTGCGCGTCCGATCGTCCCGCAGTCAGCCCAATAATTGAGCCAATGGCTCTATTGTTTGGGGGTGTCTATAAATATCGTTTGGCCGGCTCTAGCTCACTCTCTTGGCTATTTGCATTGACATAGCAACCTTGTGAGTTTAGCCAAAGCCCTCCCACTCCATCTTTGATTCATCATCTTTGTGAGATTGGGAGAGAATCCAAGTGCATTGCTTGAGTGTTTGCATCTAGAGGCACTTGGTATTCGCGTTTCACTGCGGGTTTGGCTTGTTACTCTTGGTGGTTGCCGCCACCTAGACGGCTTGGAGCAGCGAGGATCGTCGAGCGGAGGTTGGTGATTGTCTCCGGCTTCGATCATGGTGATTGTGAGGGGTTCTTGACCTGTCCCCGGTGGAGAGCTAAAAGGTACTCTAGTAAATTGCTCGTGGCTTGTGTGATCCTCATCTTGTGTTGGTTGTGCGGCACCCTATTGAGGGTTTGGCATGTGATGTCAATTAGCGCGTGAACCTCCAAGTGAGTGAATCACCACAACGGGGACTTGCCGGCAAGCAACAGAACCTCGTAGGAAAAATCATTGTGTCTTGATTGTCTCCTTGGTATTCAAGGGTATTCACTCATTGGTCACTTGCTATGGCGGTATACCTCTCTACCACTCTCTTGTATTTCATTATACATTCACTTGGATAGAGCTAGTGGTAGTTAAGACTAGATAGTGTATCATTTAATTGTATTACTCTCACTAGGTTGATCACCTAGGTGTATATTAGAGATATAGCTTTGTTGTGATATACTAGAGAGCATAGAAAATAGAATTGGATAGGTGGCTTGCAACCCCAAGTGCTAGCGCAAAATTCGCTTCGTCATCTTATTGACTAATCATTTGTCTTAGTGTTGTTGTAGAAATTTTTAATAGGCTATTCACCCCCCTAGCCATTAGGACCTTTCACCTTACATGGCTGAGTTATTCTTTGATACTATCAATTTTTTTACGAAATTGGAGGGGTTTTACCCCCTACAGAGCTTTGTTAAAAAAAACTCAAATACAAGTAAGAGTACAAGGGTTCAAGAAACAAAAAAGGAAGAGAGAAAAAATAAGTAGAAGCAAAAAGGTTACAACAGATTTAACAGATTTTGGATCCATAGATCAAAGGTTGCTGGAAATCTTGACTTTGCCGGTTCCTTTTTGAAAAGATGCTATCATGGATATATTAACTCTACGTACATTTTAACCCATTGTAATGCACAAGCATTTATCTAGTAATTAAAGAAAATGTTCAACATTTAGAATGGAACTTTTGCTTTAAATTACAACAAAAGCAGTTGCAGGCCTTCATGTCGTCCAAACAAGCTGCCGTGCAAACCGTCGTGAAGTCATGCACCTCATGGACCAACCCCACTACAAAGCAGGAGTGGTAGGCTGGTAGCTGTATCTCCTTCTGAATGAACCATGAAAGTGAACCACACCATGGGGATTTTTGCAAATGGACTTCAAGAAAGAGAGTACAATATTTCTTTCACATTGCAATAAAAAAATCTGAAATCATGACTGAGGTAAGTTTGTAAGATAAAAAACTTGGTATCATAATCTCCTTGATAGTCTGATCATTCAATTCAAATTAGTTTGCACAATAAACTTCATGGCCTCGTCCACTCAAACTGCAGAAAAGCGAGCACACACAAGTGGGCAGAGAGCACCTGCATCCACGATTAATCCAAAAGGAATCAAATATGGGGATGGAGCAAGTAGCGAGGGATTGCATACCTGGAAGCAGTGGCCAGGTTGTCTACCACCACCACGCTCCACAATTCAAGCATCCAGAAGATCTGCTAGTCAATGATGTTTCGCGATGGACTTGCTAACATTATCTATCTCTTCCAGGCATGGAAAATGTTTTTCTCTAAAATATTTTTCAATTTTTTGAATTCTGGATTGATTAAAAACACATACATATTTAATACCTATATGATGATTACAATGATTTCATTAATGAACTGGCTAGGGGCAGTCATCTGCTTCTTCAGCCTGTTCGTTTCGGCTGGATTGGCTTATAAGTCATGGTTGAAAGTACTGCTGGCTGGTTTGGTGTGAGAGAAAAATACTGTTCGTTTGCTTATAAGCCGGAATACGAGCTGCCAAACAGGCTGCTTGTCTTGTTTTTGCTGCAAGCACATCTGCACAAAAAGATTTGGGTGTTGGATCTCCCAAGATAATACAAAATGGATATTATCATTCAAACAAATCAAATACAGAAGATGCAACTTGCCTGTCTACGTCAATTAAAGAAAGCAAATATACAAGAAAAATGCCAACTTGCCTACATCAATTCACGCTTGTGAACGCCAAATCTATGGTTTGCGTTATGGACACTAATCTATTCATGCATGGTGGTGACACCAGAGCAGCACATACCTATTGCCTGAGAATCCTTGACAAGGTCGACTGTGCAGGGAGAGGCGAGGCAGAAGACGCCCAAGCACGCAGCACCCACGCGACAGCCCAGGCCCGCCGAGGCGCGAGTCCCATGCGGCGCTCGCCCTGGCCCCTGTCTAGTGAGCGGTAGCCTGCCCATGTCCGTGTGGGTCGGTGCTCGCCCACATGCCGAGCAATTTGCCTTCGCCCGATGTCTATCCGCTTGAACCGCCGCCGCATTTACGCTGCACGCTGTGTACCGCCGTGGAGGCCGCCTTCGCGCGTGCCACAATGGAGGTCACCACCGTGCCGCCGATGCCTAGATGGAGAGAGCAGTCGTGACTGGAGGGCTGCAGCCGATTACTGCGTGGAGGGAGCCGCAGGTACGTGGAGGAGGGAGCGGCAGGTATGTGATTTTAGAAGCGTTATGTGATTTTAGAAGCGTAGCATACTTTTGAAAGGCAGGCACGCCGCACGCCAATCATGCTTGCCTGATTGGCTGATTGAACGTGATCTTAGCAATCACAGGATCTGATCGAACCTTGCATGCAAGGTGCACGTGCACAGATGAGAGCAACGTGATCTGTTTACTACACAACTATTTATTTTATGCAGTTTCAGTACATGAATTTTTTACACCATAGAATTAAGATCCAACAGCTTCTACCATGTTTCTACCTTCAGCCTCCAGCCTTCTTCTACCTCCAGACAATCACAAATCACAAGATCACAGATCCACAGATCACAGATCACAAGAAACAATTTTTTTCTATGGAAAGACAAATCATAGATCGCAGAGGAGGAGGAGAGGCCTACCTGGAGCCGGATCCGCCGCCGCCGCCGCCACCGCCACTGCCATTGCCATGGCCGGCGCGGGCCCTATACGTCATATATGGCCACGCGCAGCGTGCGCCCGTGGCCGAGGCGTTCCATCTGGCGAGCATGGGCGGGTCGCCCCACGCGCTTGATCTGGAGCAGCAGCTGCGCCTCGTCCGCCGCCGGCTGGGAGGACTGTCGGGCCGCGCTCGGGCCATGTGGGGCAGCAGCAGGGAAGCAGCGCAAATAGTAGGCTGGAGAGGCACATGCGTGGCGCCTCCATGCACGCCGGTTATGACATGTGGGCCCTAGACGTCATAGATAAAAAAATTCATGTGTTTTTTTGTGCTAAAACACATGTGTGTTATATAGCATTTCTGTTTAGGAAACACCTGATTATTGGAGAGGTGGTGGAAGAAAAACCGGGGGTGTGCGCGATGGGGGATGACGACGCGGTGATCGCGCGGTTTGGTGTCCGCGGCGCGAGCGGGCAAGGACATGAGATGGGGTGCGTTGAAGCCTCAAATCCTCCATGCCCCTGGGATCGTGGCGAATCCTCCTCAGATTAGATCTGAATCGTTGGTTTGTCTGTGAGGGGGTTTTCTGGGTGCACAATCTGGTGTGGATGGAGGAAATGTCATCTATGTGGAGGACATTTTTTTGGTGGACTGAGCGTAATTTTGATTGGTCCCTTATAGCAGAGAGAAGATGGGGTGCGTTGAAGCCTCAAATCCTCTATGCCCCTAGGATCGTGGTGAAGCCTCCTTAGATTAGATCTGGATAGTTGGTTTGTCATGTGAGGGGGTTTTCTAAGTGCACAATCTGGTGTAGATGGAGGAAATGTCATCTCTGTGGGGGCATTTTTTTGCGTAGACTCAGCGTAACTTTGATTGGTCCCTTATAGTAGAGATTCCTGGTAGTGTATATGATGATTTGTATTGGACGATGGTCTAGTGGTTGTGTCCTTGATCCTCATCACATTGCTGTCCACCATGTTTCAAGGTTGTCATTACCAAGCATTTGTTGTATTTCTGTTACGTTCCCTACCCTAGGAGGCAACCATGTTCCATACCGCTCTTTGAGTAAGTAAATTCTAAATTGCTGCTGTTCTTCCGTTTGCAACATGTACACAGCAGGCGCACAGCCCAGAGGCAAACGGAATTACGGAACAGACGTGCCTAAATCGGAACATCCGAGACCACCGAGTCCGAGTCCATTGCTCGACTCGGAAAGAAGCTACTCCAGCCCAGGCCACATAAAAGGAGGCGGCACCCGGCGATTCTCTCAACCAAACCAGAGCTTTCAGAGAACCAACGCCAAGGTCGAAGTCACCAAGCCCACGTAGACGGAAGAAACCATGGCGATCCGCACGGGGAACAAGCTTGCTCGGACATTGGTGATCTGGTGCCTCGCCGACCTGCTGCTGCTCCTGCCGTGCACAGCTCGCCCCATCTCCGAAACGAGCACCATCGACGGCAGCCGGAGCAAGCACCTGCCGCTTCGGGGATCGATGCTGCGCGGCCCGGAGAGCGTGGCCTTCGACGGCACCGGCGCCGGTCCTTACAGCGGGGTCTCCGACGGCCGCGTCCTCAAGTGGAACGGGTTCGCGCGCGGCTGGTCGACGTACGCGTACAGCCCGGGCTACGACGCCGAGGCCTGCACCGTGTCCAGGGCTCGGCCGGCGGAGCTCACCGAGAGCAAGTGCGGCCGCCCGCTGGGCCTGCGGTTCCACCACCGGTCCAGCAACCTTTACATCGCGGACGCGTACAAGGGGCTGATGCGCGTCGGCCCGGGCGGCGGCGAGGCGACGGTTCTGGCCGCGGAGGTCGACGGCGTGCCGCTACGCTTCACCAACGGGGTGGACGTGGACCAGGTCACCGGGGACGTGTTCTTCACGGACAGCAGCATGAACTACCCGCGGTCGCAGCACGAGAGAGTGACCGCCACCGGGGACTCGTCCGGCCGCCTCATGAAGTACGACCCCAAGACGGGCCAAGTCACCATGCTGCAGGCCGGCATCACGTACCCCAATGGCCTCGCCATTAGCGCTGATAGGACACACCTCGTGGTCGCGCTCACCGGGCCATGCAAGCTGCTCAGGTACTGGATCAAGGGTCCCAAAGCTGGCACGTCTGAGCACCTCGCCGACTTGCCGGGCTACCCTGACAATGTGAGGGCCGATGGCAGAGGAGGGTTTTGGGTGGCGCTGCACCGGGAGAAGATGGAGCTGCCCTTTGGTCCGGACAGCCACCTGCTGGCGGTCAGGGTCGGGGCCGACGGGCAGGTGGTCCAGGTGATGAGAGGGCCCAAGAGCGTGAGGCCGACGGAGGTGGTGGAGAGGGAAAGCGGAAAGCTGTACATGGGCTCCGTAGAACTACCATATGTCGCCGTTGTTAGGGAATACTAGTGACTTCGATTTGTAATTGTGTTTTCTGTTTGGAATTTATATGTCGTGCTATGTTTTAAGGGCATGATGTTTAAAAAAAATTACCTTGCTGAAGTTGGGTAAAAAAAAACACGTGAAACCCTTGAATCAGGCAGAAAAATTCGAGTGAGGAAACTTAATTTGAATCATATTTGAAGCATATCTGTCCAAAGCTTACGAATACACAGTCATCATCTAAGAATTTAACTGCGGTACATTGAGTCATACTAACGCAGGGATTAACAATGTACTAATACGTAGGCATGCCACACGCGTGATGTACATGTACTAGGTCATCATCAAAATATATGCATTCTAACAGAGATAGAAAGTGCACTGCATCAATAAAAGCGTCAGGATGATTTCATAGTTCAGACTCGTTGTTGGAATTGAACACCTGACAGTAACTGAACAGAATGACATTCCGCTGAAGTTACTGAACCGGGACAGTCACTACTACGGATTTTTCCAACAGTGATTGGCCGGAGTGAATCAACAAAGACTAGCCTCTGCAACAATTCTCAGCAATCAGGGAAAGACATCCCAGATTTGTATTGCAATTTGCAAGTACAACTTCAGTTATGCACTGTTCAAGGAAATTTGAAGCACATCAGAGTCAAAACCCGATGAGAATTTAACTGCAGCACAGCAACGAAATTTGATCACACAAACATGCCGTCATCATCTCAAGAAAATTTAACTGCAGCACTGCAAGCCACGCTGAGGTTAACCGTGGGCATGTCAGTATGTCACATATGCCTCTCCTAGTACACATCATCAGAGTTTTTGCATTTTTAACAGTGACAGACAAAATGATCTCGTCGTTTCAAACTTCGGTGCTGCGAATTGAGATTGAACACCTGACAGTAACTGAACAGAATGACGTTCCGCTGAAAGCCTGAAACTACTGATTTTTCCAACAAAGATTGTCCGGAGTGATGAGTGAATCAACAAAGACTAGCATCGACGATCTGAAGCATTCAATTCTCTAAATAAGGCACGAAGGTTAACAGCGCCATTACCGCTAGCTGTAGGATCGGAAGCCGCACGACGTGACGCCGTTCAACTCTCACGGGCGGTCACCGGGAACCCTCGCTCGTCTACCCTGCACCAGCGGAAACTCACCGCCTTGATCCACTCCGGGTTGACGAGAAACTTGCCGTGCTCCCGCGCCCACTGCGCCTTCTGGGTCCCCGGATCCTCTACAACGACATGGGTGACCGTCCCGTCGACGTCTTTCTGGCAGGCGGCGCCGAGCCGCTCGGCCAACGTCCACATGAGGGTGTCCTCAGGGAAGTCCTCCATATATTCCTCCAGATAGCTGAACACCACCGTGCACTCGGGCAGCACCTGGCGCCACACCTCCCTGATCACATCCCTGACGTCCACGCGGTCACCGTCGAAGAAGGCCTTGTGGATGTGCTCCAGGACGCCCAGCACCATGGCCAGCGAGCAGTCCTGCTCCCTCTCGTCCCGGCCCTGCTCCGCCAGGGAGGGGATGTCGTAGCCGAACTTGCGGCAGGTGGAGGCGAAGTAGTGGTACCTGTCCATGAGGATGAGGTTGTCCTGATGCCCCGGCCAGGCACCGTCCGTGTCGTCGAGGATCACCACCGCGGCGGAGTCGGCGCCCGGGATGACGTCGAGGCTCTTCATGTCCCGCTGGGTCGACTCCTTTCTGGACACGACCCTGCCGCCGAAGTAGACGCCGTCCGGGTCCAGAAGGTCGATGACCGCCTTCGCGTAGCCCTGTCTTCCCAAGGTGTACACGTGCATCCAGAACATGGAGCTCGCCTGCTCCAGGAAGCCTCGCACGAACGGCCGCAGCTTGACGAGCATGCGAACGTTGTCGGAGTACTCCAGCCTGAAGAGCTCCATGTGGAGCTCGTCCCCGGTGTAGGGCGTGAACCCGTTGCGTTGCTCCTGGGCGGAAAGGTCTTGGAGCCTCGTCGAGTTGAGCAGCGTGTGGTCCAGGTCCAGGACGAGGATCAGCTTCCTCTCGCGCTTGAGGGTCGCCATGTCGGACGGGCTCGCAATGCTCGTCGCCGCCGCCAAAGCAGGCAGGACTTGGGCCTCCTCGATGTTCGCGACCGTGATTCCGGAGGCGCTTCCTCCCGCGTCCTCCTCCGTCGCCCCGCATCGGTAGCAGAGACCCAGGACGAACTCAGGGTGCGGGGGGCAGCGCGGGGCGTCGTCGTTGCCGTGGTCGTCGCCTTCTTCCTTCATCATCCCGTGCCCAACGGCGGCTCCGGGAGAACCTCCTTCCGTGTCCTCCTCCTTCACGCAGCGCGCTTCGTCGTCGTTGCCGTCGCCGTCTCCTCCTTGCTTCATCGTCTCGTGACCAACGGCGACTCCGGGAGCACCTCTTTCCGCGTCCTCCTTCTTCGCCCCGCACAGGAAGCAGAGCCCGCCGACGAACCCAGGATGCGGGGGGCAGCGCGGGGCGTCGTCGTAGTTTCCTCCTTGCTTTTGCTTCATCTCGCTTTCAGCTCGCTCATGGCGGCGGCCGCGGGATTCTCCCGGCGAGCGGTGGTTGAGGAGGTGGTCGGCGAGCGGTGGTTGAGGAGGTGGTCGGTGGGCGGGCGGCGTGCCTCCTCTGGTTTTGTACTCAGTACCTGGGAATTCCTTGTAACTGCCATCGCGTGGAAGCGTGGAACGGTCGAAGCCCAACTGAAGGCAGCCCACCGGCCCACCAACCACGGCCCGTTCTGAGCCCTAGTTTTGCCGCAACGCCGCCACCAATTCGCAGCTCCAGCAAACGGATCGTCGCCGTCGCAGACTCGCAGCCACCTCCCCGCCCTCCCGCGCGCGCCGCCTCTCACATGTGCTCCTCGCCGGCTTCGACTCCTCCTCCGATTTGTCATAGTCGCCTGAGGCGGGCTCAGTCGTTGATGGTGGCCATGGTGAGGAAGGACGAGGAAGAGGGGCCCGCGGACCACGTGCCGCACCTGCCGTGGATGCGGTACCCCGTCGACATCGACACCTTCTCCGGCTGCTCCGTCACACAGCTCCCCCGCCTCGACCCGAGGTGCACTCCCATGCTCCAGCGTTGCCCTCGTGATCGCTTCAACTGGCGACTAACTAGTTTTGGTTGCTGCTCAGAAGCAACTGTCGCCCTTTTTTATTTTGCTGTTCGTAAGCGGGTGGGGAATTACAGTGCGGATACTTTTAGTTCTCTCTCGAGGAGTTAGATTTTTATGTTCTTGGAATTTAGCTTGCCTTACTTGGTTGCACGCAGAAACTGTAGTGTTGGATGGTGGCTGTTGCTTCTGTGATTCGTTAGGTCTGAGGTACTCTTTCAAGTTTCAACTGTAGTGACACAATCAAATGTGTGTATGTCCTAGCATGACAAAAGAGCCTAAATAAACGGCAATGATAAAAATAAAGTGAGCATGAACAAAACTCAGGCGTCATTAGCTCGAGTGTTGATGGAAAACTAAATCAGTGCCGTTGCAAGGTGATCTGAAAAGGGAGGATGACGCCGCAGGGCAGCCAGTAGAGTTGTTTGTGGAGGGGTTGGATTCTGTAAATTAGAAATTGTTGATCCATATAGCTACATTATTTTGAGGATTATCCTAGAAAAATATGTAGGTCTAATCAGTCCGTATTTACTATATAGATTTACTGCATGGAGCATGCCAAAATTATGACAGAGTATGTTTGTCTCTAGAAGAATAGTTGAAACGATCAAATTGAGTGCAGAGCCATTGATCTGACCACTTCATTATAACAACATAGAAGTGATTTAGTTGTAGAATTTCAACACAGACCTTAAACGACCTAAAACTGGAGAGTAGCGGCTTCATAGCTCAACTAGAACCTAAATATAAACTGTCTCGAGACCTTGTCAAATGCATGCGGACAGAATAGGATATCGCTGTAACAACATATCGTGAATCTGTACTTTTTTTCTCGACCGTGCCACGAGGCACGTTTTTCATTAAGAGGAAGAGTTTTAAGAGTTACAACAGTAATAGGGAGTTACCTCTCGAAAAACAAACTGAAGAGGAAAGCCGAAACACAGCAAACAAAGGTTAACAACAGCACACGATCAAACCAGAAGCTGCAGCAACTTGTTGAGAATCGAACTGACAAGCAAGTCACTGAAAAACAACTCACATCCTTCCTTTTCTTTCTCCTCCCCCTTCAGGTTTTAATCTAGCCTTCCTTAATATATATATACTTGCAGTGCACATGGATATGAAATATATGGCGGATGTTAACAAAGAATGGAGATTGTGTAGGAACAGGAAGTAAAGGCCATATAAACATAGTTGGTATATTTAGCTTCAGTTGAGATTGTGTATTAACAGGGAGACAATCAAATGAAACTATATATGCATAACTTCTTACAATCGCTGCTCCTCCCTGATCACCACCTGTAGGTCCCCAGCCACTGGTGGCACATCACAATATCCTCCACATACCACAATATCCTCCGTAGGGAGCAACCTGCAATTGACATGACAATAAGATGAATCCATTCTTTCAAATCTCAACTGATGCAAAAACAAAAAAATGAGCAAGCACAACCAACAAATTTCACAAAACCGCAGTCCATGAAATTGGCAGGAGAAAACAGAAATGAACAATGCAATGACACTGTCGATCAATCACCTGTTCCTCCCAAATCACCACCCACAAGCCATCAGACCTGGCTAATGCCCTGCCTGCTGCCTGCTGCCTGCTGCCAACAAACAATGCTGCACGTGCACAACCTGGCCATCGACAACCGACGTGAACCAACTCCAACTCACATCCTCTGCATCGCTACTGCCCACAGCAAACCACTGCCGCACCACAGCATCATCCATCAGGAACAGCTTGCAGTCTAGCATTGCTTAAGAACCCATCAATTCTCTGCATCTCATTTGACTGCAAAAATGAAGAGAGCAAGCACGAGAAACAGACCTGAGAAGAACAGTGAAGACAACAAATATAAAGGAGGAATTCTACTGCTGACCATGACCAACGGGAAGGGAACTGGGATTGGAGAGACATACCATGCTGAATAGCCAATAACTCATCCGCTGAGGAGTAGAGCGATGAGTGGGTGTGCTTCCGGCAAGGTCGTTGGACCTGCTGGCCACGCTGCCATCCCCATACATGCGCCGATGTTAGGGCAGCTCAGCGCTACCTCCCATGGCTGCATGCCAGGTCCTAAACCCCGCTGTGCATCCTGCACCTTCCCTAGCCCTACATAGCGTAGCACCGCTGTCTGTCCGCGCCTCTGCTTGGGCTGACGGGACGAGGCACAGATGTAGCGAGTGCGGGAAATAGGAGATCAGATAGAAAACAGGGTGCACATCGAAAAAATTGGTTTGTGTCGCCAGACACACCTCATGGTACCTTAGTATTTTGGTTCGCTCACTATAAGTTTTCAAATGTATTTTCAGTGCAGTTAATTTATCAAGCTAGGAAAGTGTCTCTTCATTATGGTGATTTATTAGAAATAAGTGAGCTAGGAGAGTGTCTGATGGGTATGTTTTTACCATTGTAGACTGGCAGAGGCTTTGCAGAGAATGGGAATTGAATCGTTTTTCCCGGTTCAAGAAGCAGCTTGGCTGGAAACAATTGGTCCTGGCACTTTTGAGAGGGATATCTGTATCAACTCCCCAACTGGATCTGGCAAAACTCTTGCTTATGCCCTACCTATTGTGCAAATGCTCTGCAAACGGAAAGTAAGGTGCTTACGAGCTTTGGTTGTGCTTCCTACACGGGATTTAGCCTTGCAGGTTTGTGCGATTTCAGTGCCTTTTTGAAATTTATCTTTCCTATAATCCATGCTTCAACATTTGAGTCAGACACTTATCCATTTCATTGTAGTCCATTTAACAAATTTAAGTACTGCCTTTTTCTTATTTCGATTTCAGGTTAAAGAGGTTTTTGATGCTATTGCTCCTGTGGTGGGCTTGTCAGTAGGTTCAGCAGTTGGTCAATCATCAATAGCAGATGAAGTTTCTAGTCTTGTCCGGAAGCCCAAACAAGAGTTTTACCCAACTATTGACGAAGAATATGTCCAAATGGAACCACAGACTAAAATTGATATATTGGTGGCAACCCCTGGAAGACTGATGGATCACATTAACATGACAAATGGTTTCAGTCTGGAGCATCTTCAGTACCTGGTAGGCTTATTGGAATTTTATTGCATAATTCATTCTACATCTCCTTAATGCTTTGCCTGCTTACATTGTGGATACTGCTTGTTTCCTCTGAATCTACTGCCCTCCTCCTTAATGGAATTGTCTGTTTAAGCCTTGAAAAATTGCTGTAGTATGTGCACGCTTAGTAGACTGTACACAAAAAATGTGAAAGGAACATGCCATGTAAATATTTAGTGAGATTATTCTCTGGAAGACTGGAACTCAATTTCGACCAGATTACCTCTTATTCTAGATCCTTGCTGTGTATGCCTTTTGGAACCATGCAACTTGCAACACAATATAACATATGCTGCCCTTGTTGTTTCCATGGAATTGTTGGACTTCAAATGCAGCAGTCTGTAGTATTTGTCTAAACATAAGTTTTGTCATTTATGAGACTGCTTGAACCTTATCATGACTGTACTTTTCCAACTTACTAGCTCGTCATATTTCACTTATTATGGATTCAGGTCATTGATGAAACAGATAGAATGTTAAGAGAGGCTTATCAATCCTGGTTGCCAACAGTGATCCAGCTTACACACTCAACTGGCCAAGATCATTCCTGGCATGACAGTGATGGGAAAACTCTACTTCATCCATTGACTGCTATTAGAAGATTGTAATTCCTAATCCTAATTAAATTCTTGTGTATTTTCCTCTTTTTGTAATTTGTAATGATCACATTTCATACTCATAATCGCAATCCTGTCCTTCTCATATTAATTAGTTTAAGGTAGGTGCACTATATTTTGGCCTAGGATTTAGTTAACCTACTATGTATCATGTAGGGGTGTGGAGCGTGGGTTTAAAGGTAAATGCTATCCAAGGTTGGCGAAGATAGTTTTGTCTGCTACACTGACTCAAGATCCTAGCAAGCTATCCCAACTCGAATTGCACCATCCCTTGTTGTTGAATAGTGGGAAGAAGCGTTATAGAATTCCTACAAAACTTGATTCCTACAAACTGGTCTGTCTCTTATGTCTTTGTAGCTCATTTACCTTAGGTGTAAAATTACTGTTGGAAACTCTGTGGTGCATACTCACTCAGATTTGTTCTATGTTGCTATTGCAGATCTGTAAATCAAACTTAAAACCACTCTCTCTCATCGTTCTTCTCCAAGAACTGCAAGGGAATAAGTGCTTAGTTTTTACCTCATCTGTGGAATCAAGTCACAGACTAAGCACTTTACTGTTTTTTTTTTAAAACTTACCCTTTAAATTCAGTGAATATTCACGCTTGCAGCGTGAATCTACTCGAAGGTAAGCTATCCACATTACAATTCCATGCATGTTCACGTTGGAGTTGTGGCCTTGTAGCTGTAGGTGAGTAGCAATATCAAGTTTTTTTTCCCATTCGAACGCACAGAAGAACTGCAGATATTAAGAGGAAAAGGAGTCCAAAATGATTCATACAGGCCACACACAAACTAGCGTGTAGCACCCACCAGGGCCACACTAGTTACATGAGCAATCACCAGTAAAAATAAGGCCATGATCAAGATTACAAAATTAAAAGAATGGGGATGCCTCTTCATGGGTCTGCCTTAATTACTGTTGTGAGTTATAATTTTTTGGTTTACATGAATGTGAATTAGAATTATACTTTGAAGTTGAACTCATTCTCACCTTTAGACATTAATAGTTATGGGATGTTATAACCATGAGCTAGGCCCATGTGGAAGGTTAAATTAAGAATAGGTCATGAATTAGGAACAAATCAGATAAAATAGTAGATTAGAAAAGTGATGGATTTTTTTAATTAAACTAGGGATAAATATCAAGTTTGTTTCTATAATAATAGAGATTAGTATCTTACGTGACCATTCTGATGCCATGATATTAGTTGAATCTCTCTTGCAGGAAGACACTGGAGGCCTTCAAGGAAGGGAAAATCGATGTTCTAATTGGCACAGATAGAATGGCTCGTGGAATACATATTGATGGTTTAAGATATGTTATCAATTATGATATGCCACCATATGCGAAAACATACATACATCGAGCGGGTCGGACTGCTAGAGCAGGGGAATCTGGTTCCTGCTTCACCTTCTTAAGAAAGCATGAGGTAATGGCATAATGCTCTGCCAGACAATAATAGGTAGCTTTCCCATGCAAAAGTTACAGTGAGTTGATTTATTAACATGCCTGTTATTATATATGTAAAAAAATCTGCAATCTTGTTCTCATCCCAGTACAGCCATATCACTGGGGTTAGACACAAACTCCAAGTTGAGTATTTGTTGCCCTGGTGAATGTCAGTTTAGTATCATATGATTTGGAGTAGAAAGATGTTACTGGGCCACTGCTCTGTACTAACTACTAACTACTAAACATGGGGACTTCCGGATTTACCTTAGGACTTAAGAATACATAAAACACTTTGACGTCCATTATAGGGTGAAACATAACTATGTAGTGGACACTACCAGATGCCTCCTTTTCATTACCAAAAGAACACCCAAATTGGATCATACCCAAAACACTTCCAATTAGAATATCCAGCATGAATGTTTTATGTCTATCTCGGTTGCTGAATCAAATCATTTGTAGGTTAAAACTTTTGACAAAATGCTCAAGAAGGCAGACAATGCTAGCTGCAGTCTTCATTCATTGCCTGAGGAATCAATAGAAACACTTCGTCCAACTTTCTCCAGTGGTGAGATAATGGTCCTTCTGTACTTGGGATATGCTGGTTTTTAGTTACCTGTCATCCATTTTAATGCTACACCCATTCTAACTGTTTTTATTTTCTTGTTCGGTTGTTAAAAGCTCTGAGGAAACTGGAAGAATCACTGGAATTGGAAGCAGCGAAGAAATCTAATTTAGGAGATAAAATGCCAGGTGCTTCTAAACGGAAGAGATCAAATCAGTAATGAAAGCAATAGTGCTTTAGTTCTAACGTCTTGACGTTACACCTGCATTTTCTACAAAGTTTCGGTGAGACCTACTTTCTGAGATGTCGTGCATTTTTTTTTTTCCACAGTACCATTTTTTCCTCTTATGTTCAGTGTCATGATGCTGGCATACATATGTTTGCCCTTCAATTAATAAGATGATCCATCAACAGGGAAGAAATGTGAGGAGGCAATTGATTCCCAGTTCAAAGCATGAGCTAGAATGGGGCATGTTAAACCTACAATTTGAAGTATGCTTGGCTTTTGTTAGTCAAATTTGAGCCTGGTTATTCTGTCTTGGGCTTGAAAATTTGAGCCAAATATTTGTTCAACCATTTAACTTGTTAATTGAACCAACCCCTTAGATCAAATAGAGTTCTGTTAATTTTCTGCTTTCTTCATTTGTTTTCTCTCTTATAAGGTCGTACAGTTCAGACATTTTATTCTCCACTAACAAAAGATGGTTTTATATGGTACTACTTGACTGAACTCACGCTCCACTGTCTCGAAAGCTTTTGAATTCACAAATATAATGAGAGTGAATCCATGAATATTGTGTAGAAATAGCTTCCAGTTGTGCGAGGAAAATTTTACAATCAGCATAACTAATGAGAAATGAAAAATATCCAGCATCTTTTCTTTAATTATACTCATCCGGCTGATGGTTTCTGCGGCAGACAAGCCGGCTAAAGCTGATTTGTTGTAAGAGAAAAACATTGTTCCATGGCTGATAAGTTCAAGCGAACAGGCTGCTAGTAGTCAGCACTGACTTGTTTGGCTATTCAGATTTGAGAATGAAACCTTGAAGGATCCTACCTGTTCAGAAGTTCTAATGTTGAGTGTAGTAGTTTTACAAGCATGGTCATCTACTGCTACGATTAATACTTCTCTTTCTGGCTGCCAGCATATATAGCTTGTCGATTATCTTACTGGTCCCAAGTTTTCTAAGATGCCCGTGATCCTCTAGGTTGTTCTCAGCCCCAACAATTCTGCAGCCGGCTCATGGTCCATCATGGATACCCAAAGTTAAGGGCGATGATTTCATACGTCTGCTGTTCATTGTGCTGTCCCATCTCCAAACAGCTTTCGCCATGCCAGCAACAGGCCGATCCATTTTGATGAATGGCACAGTAAATTTCTCGGCCTTGGACAGTTGGAAAAGTACCTTATCTTCCTTGTGTGGTGTTCATCATTCACTGTGCATTTATGGCTGCAACTGCAAGGAGGCCACCCAAAAGAAAAGTTGGCTGCATTCACCTCAGGTCTTGTTTAGATCACCTCTAAATTCCAAGTTTTTTCACTCTCTTCCATCACATCAATTTTTGGACGCATGTATGGAGCATTAAATGTAGTTAAAAAAATAACTAATTATACAATTTGGTTGTAAATCACGAGATGGATCTTTTAAACCTAGTTAATCCATGATCAAACAAAGTTTGTCAAATACAAATGAAACGTGCTACAGTGTCCAGATTGCAAAAATTTGCAATCTAAACAAGGCCTCAATATGGCTGCAACTGCAAGGAGGCCTGACAAAGTCGGCACTCTCATGGCCTTTCAGTTATGCTTTACGCTTGGCATATCCCTTTTCTGTCTTTGTCAGGCCCGTGGTTTTCACTCAATTATTTAGCGACATTGATTGGGAAATGTCAAAGTAACAGATAACTCGACTGGAAACCCTATTTTTCTTTGTTCCAACTTTGTTTCCCCTGAGGGAGGAGATCTCATCTGCATGCATCATTGCAAATTTTGCAGTCCTGTGGTCCAATTCTACCTTGTACCTTTTCTTTCTATGGCCCTTGTTCACTAGAGCTGTCACTAGAAGTTTTTGTTTTCTTAGGCCACGTTTAGTTCTAAAAAGTTTTCCCAAAAAGTGCTACGGTAGCCATTACATCGAATCTTGTGATACGTGCATGGAGCATTAAATGTAGACGGAAAAAAAACTAATTGCACAGTTTGGCGGGAAATTGCGAGATGAACGTTTTAAGTCTAATTAGATCATGATTGAACACTAATTGTCAAATAAAAACGAAAGTGTTATAGTAGCTAAATTCTCAAATTTCACCCAGCGACTTAAACCACGACGATAGATACCCTTCATTTACTTCACCAACGTGGGTGCATCTCCTGCTGGGATCCTTCAATCGGTTGGACGTATCTGGTAAATACGCCCATGAGCCATGATCTTGGCTTCCCGATTTGTTTACTTGCAGCCAGCCCATCGCGACGTGCGGATTGAAGGCAGGGAGGGAATATTGCCACTCAGTAGCCTCCCGTACCATCCAACCGTGTGTCGTGATCGTCGCCTGCGCATCAATCAGCAATCGCTAATGCTGCATCATCCCAGTTTTTGGAGGTGGTTAGAGGAAACTACCTGTATGATCTCTTTGCCGTCTGATAGGATACATGATCCTTACCAAACAGACTGAAACAAGAAAAAGAAAATCTCATGTTCCGAAGGGGTCTTAATTTCAAACTATTCACTGTTTCTTATATTAAGCATTCCCCACGAGTGAGTATTTGTGCAACTGCAACTACATGTATGCTTGCAAATGGAGCATTGCATATGTGTTTTCGAGTAGAGCATTCAAGGTTTCAAACCATTAGGCACTCGCAAACACCTGTCTAGCACCGTACATCTGTCTAGCAGACGCGCTACAAAAGAAGCACCTTATCTGTCCTTCCCTCTATAGTATTACATCAGGGAAGACTTTATGTGTGCTTAGCTTTAAACTACATGCTCTTATATATCTAAGGTTATCTGGTGGTCCGAGAAGCACCTAATTTCAGCAGTGGAGAGGAAACTTTGCAGCTCATCATCATCTATGACTGTTATGAAGCAACTCATTTGATAATCCTCAACATAATGTTTCATTTTGTTGACCAGTTTTGCACTTGATACCACCCTAATCTCGTTTGATAAACTGGTATATGAATATGATCCCTTCGGACCAATAATTTCGATTCCTCCTCACCTCCACGGCCACCACCTAACAAGAGCAGACACGACAGCTTCGCGACAAATTTAACAGAAAAGAAAAGCTACGGATCACAGGAGCAGCTCAGTCATCAGGCCCAAAAGGAAAAGGAGAGGAGGGGAGAGGTAAAGAGGCCAGGAAAGCTATTTTACAAGAACATGAAAAGATGGAGCTAAAGGTTGCATGATTAAACATCATTTCTTATAAACAAACAAAAGGGGGGCAGGAAAGGTGGAGTGGGAAAAGCCCTGCTGGGCCACTTGACAATTCCAACCCTACAAGACCTCCCTTCTGAACACACAACCTCTCAAGACAAGAGCACTGCCTTCACTGCTTACCGCCCGCACCAGCATCCTTGATGGTCCTGGAATCATCGCCACCGGCACCACCGTTCACCAGTGGCGACGACGCAGGGCTACCGCCGTCGTGCAGGGGACCTCTAGCGCCTCCCATTGCACCCATGGAGGGTCGGGATAGGAGGGACGACGATGTGGCGGAGGAGATGGCCGAGGCTAGAGATATTGGCATCAGGCAGAGCCCCTTGCCCTGCAAGTACTGCATGGCAGTGCCCATGTCCTCCTCCATCAACCTGGCCACCTGTTGCTCCGTCACCTGCAGACTGCCACCACCATTCTCGCCGTTGGCGGCATTGCCATTTCCGCTGTCGCTTGTGCCATTTCCGCTCCCATTACCCTGCAACAAGGATTTGAATTTGATTCCATTGGCGATTTGGCTGATGCACAAGATAATAAAAACTGATGTGCACACTGGGTCTGCTCTTTTTAGTTTGCTACTCATCAAGATTATAAAGATTATTTATGGGAATTTTGTCGGATTTGATTTGGTTGACCTTATAGCAGCGGGGGCATGTTCAGGAGTTGGGGATTCTCCTTAGTGGGTTAGTAGCTCCTACAGCTTAAATGCTTGATCAGTACCATGTAATCACTTTTCAGGCGTGTTTTCCCCTTTTTGGCTCCAGTCCTTAACAACAAAGATTCCTACATACTTTTTTCCTTTGTGTTGGCCACTAATGCTTGATAAGTTCCTTAAGCAAAGTTATGCATGGGACATATCTCCGTTTGATTTCGTGCAAATCTGTAAGCATGCTGTTTGGTTTTAGTAGCTCTTTTGGGTGGCTTTTTAGTCCTCGAATGCTAAAGCTAGAATCTGAAATAAGATCTCTATATATTTATTTGCTATTGGATAGACTTGATCAGGGATCAACTTTAGACCAATATAAACAACAATTTTGGATGGGCCAAATGATGGTTAAATTGTTCGGAATAGCAACTTTCAAGATGACAAAAGTATGGGTACCTATTTGCACCTAACCAATGGACAATGGTCAAAAGGATAACCTTTTCCCCGATCGCTTTGTGCTTCAGTGAACATCATTACAGCATTTCAGGGTTCAACATACTTGGCCCACAAAGTTTAGTTGTATCAAATGATGGGTCGTTGCTAGCACTTTAATTTTCAAAACAGAAGAACATATGACGCAACAATAGGTACCTCTGATGCCATGCTAGCAACTAGAGGGCCGACGGCTGTAGCTCCGCCTAATCGGCTCATGCTAAGAACCTGCAAGAATGGGGAACATCTGAGGAGTCATGAATTTGGACAAGTTTTTGAGTGCCCAAATTATGAGAAGAACTTAGGAACTCATCCCACAGTAACCTAGCTAGGTGTAGCAAAGCAGAAATACCTTGACTTGGAGCTGGAGGAACTTCACATAATCAATGATCTCGTCAAGCATCGATGCCTTGTCGGTCTGCAAACAAAATTCCATATGATATATGATCATTTCAGCGACAGTGATCTTATGTCCACTATTAGTTTGTGCTATGGACTATCGACTAAGACATGACGAGCGATGTTTTTATTCCAAAGGGCAGCAGAACAACGTTCATTGTAGCTTCATGATACTCTAACAGTGACCGCAAGTTGTTCCAAAAAGGATATCCGATGTGCCAGTAGGGGCTTCCGGAACAACCGTGGCAC